ACAAAGGGGCTGTCAACAGAATCCAAGAGATCAGCGAGAGAGTCTGAAAGTATCCAAGCTGAATCTCTTCCCATAAGTCCAATCCCTTTGGCTTCTTTAAACAAATGACTTGCAGTGGATACTGATGAGCGAAGAACGACAAACACCCTTGATTGTTTCCTTAGTAACTTCACAACCTCTCGTCGAACAACTTCCCTTGGATCAGATAGAGAAGAGGTTTGTGGAAGAATTACTTGATGCTCTATTTCTGCACCATCACCTTTTAGTGTTTCAGATAAAACTGCAAGCATACTAGAATCACTATACATGTCATCTTCATATATTATTATGATTCTCCTCCATTGGTACGAACGAACAATAGCAGATATACAATTAATTTGTTCCAAGCTACTTGTACACATTTGCACCAAGAAAGGCCATTTTAGCTGCACCAACTCTGGTGTGTAGGAAGCTGTAACAAAAGAGATTATTGGAATTTGATGCCTTTTCCCAATATCAGCTACTAAAGCTGTTTCTTCCCAAGTCTGCATGCCTACAACTATCATCTTGACATTGTTTTTCTCAACAAGATCTTCAGCTGCACCACAATTATTAAGACAAATGAACACTTATGAAATGAGTCAAAGTTCCATGTATTGACGTTGTAAAAAGATATTATTTACATAATTAGGTCACATATAAGATAATAACAACGAAATTTCCATGATAAATATTAACTGGTAACTTGATAAAATGGCAACTAACATGCTATCGCAGGTTAAACTACACTGATAGAGCAAGTTGATACAACAAGTTGATAAATGTTAAATTAAAAGCCAAGTATGAAACCTGTGGAAAGGTCCTGAATTGCATCCTTGCTGGTGTTCCTAAAATGAACTGTTATAAGCTGCTTGTGGTTTATTTTGTCATGGTTATAATTCTCAACTGCTATAGCTATGGCTGTTTTCTGTTCCTTCCCAATACGGGAATTTACGTCAACAATTGCACCTATTTCTATGGTTTCATTTGCAGTTGCTTTGAGAGTTAAAAGGGAGATTAAAATATAGGCTTTGAGGATGAAGATTAACTTAGGGAATGGCTTAGGACTCATGCTTTTTTCTACTTAGCTGAAAAGATTTTCTTGATTTAAGATAATTAACCACTATATATAATCTTATTCCTGTGTACTAGTCAAATGATTTTTTTCAGTTATACAGTTGAGTTGACTATGTCTTGTGGTTTAATTTGAAAAGTAGAAGGATGGTCATACACTCATATATATACTTTGGCACCACGTTAAGTGATTCGTGTGGACTCGTACAAAGATGAGAAATAGACTCATTTGTCAGCCTTGGGAATTCTCGTCGAAAGTAACATAAAAGAAAAATGCTAATGGTGAAATGTATAAGGTCAAGGAATGAACTTACACTGTAGCTAAGATGTCACAAACTTCCTTCTGTAAGAATTATGTAGTCCTTGTTCTTGGCTCTTATGATAGTTTAGTGTAGTTTAGAAAATAACAAAAAGATTTCTCAAAAGACCAAAAAGAATTGGTCCAAATTTATTTGGCCAAATACATAAGCAGGCACCTAAACTTGGCACCGCTTTTCACTTAGACACTTAAAAAGTTAGGCTTGTTCCTAGGGGTGTTCACGGTTCGGTTTGGGTCAGTTTTTCCCTAAAAAGAAACCAAACCAATTAAGTCGTTTTTTTATCAATTCGGTTTTTGTCGGGTTTTCGGTTTTTTCGGTTATTTATCGGTTTTTTTATTAAGTATGAGACATACACTACCAAACGCATATTCCGGCGACTACATTTTCAACATAACACTATCAAATCAATTGCTCTTTGAGACTATCATTTACCAAGATATATTGATGATAATTGAATCAAATAGTGATGAATAATTTAACTACTCAATTTAAAATTAATTATTTTTAACATGATCTAATTAAATTCTTGTACTTAGAAAAAGAAAATCACCAATCAAACTAGAATGTAAAGGCAAAGAATTAGATTATTAAATTCAAAAAACTAGATCAAAAATATAAATGACTAATATGTACCATAAAATTTTAGAAACTTTATATAAAAATATACATATATATAGGTGTAATAATAAATTTAAATAGCTACTTTTATAGTCAGTTTGGTTCGGTTTTTTTCGGTTATTTTTTTAGTAAAACCAAAACCAAACCAAATTTGATCGGTTTTTAAAATTCAAAGCCAAAACCAAACCAAACCTAAGAAGTATCGCTTTTTTTGGTCGGTTTGTTTTGGTTTTCGGTTTGGTTCGACTTTTCGGGTTTTTATGAACACCCTTACTTGTTCCCATTAGACACTTAAAGTATATTCATATATGTCTATTAAACACCTCATTGACCATTGATCAGTAGGAAAAACAAAGTGAGGGTAATCCACCCGCGGATGACATGGAAAATCAACGAATGAAATGAAGACATGTGTTATTTTTAACCTAAATAACTATTGAATAATTTTGAGGGAAAAAAAAATTTCACTAAAATTTCCACCATCTCCCCCCCGCCGCCCAACAAAACCTAGTTGCATCCCAATTCTTCTTCCTTCACCACCGTTGTCAGACCACCAAAAATCCCACAGAGAATTCACCACCACCACCATCTCTGTAGCAGCTCGGCTGCTATGTTTTTTAGAGAAAAAGAACAAAATGACAAAATAAGAATTTAACAGAAAAGAGAATTCATTTCATTTCGGATGATAACAAAATACAATGAACTCTGCTAAATAGAATGTAAAGGGCAATGACAGCTGATCACCTAACAACTCGACATATGAGACGACATGTGTCTCTATTCTAGAACCTCCTAATGGACTGGATATTGTAAACCTGAACTGGACTCACTATGGACTAAAAGCCACTTGGGCCTTATTTAAAGAAAACTAACGTGGGCTAAGCCCAAAACCTTTTTTCCACTATCATACCCAATTCTGAACATAGTCATGGCTACACTCCACCCCCCTTAAGAACCTTGATGAAGATCAAGGTTTAAACTCAGGAAATTGACTGGTCAGGAATGAGTATTCTTCCCAAGTTGCTTCTTCTGGAGCCAAATTAGCCCATTGCACCAAAACTTCTGCCACAGCTTTGTTCCTCTTCTTGACCATGCGCCTGTCTAAAATCTTTAGAGGTTCAGTCAAGATCTGACCTTCTAGTGCAATGAGGGGGTCTTGGGTTGCAAACACTTTATCACCCAACTTCTTCTTAAGTTGTGAAACATGGAAGACAGGGTGTATTTTGGAGTGTGCTGGTAGTCGGAGCTCATAAGCAACGGATCCAATTTTTCGAAGCACCTCATAGGGACCAAAGTAGCGAGCAGATAGTTTTAAATTCTTTTGAATGGCAATAGAGGATTGTCTGTAGGGTTGCAATTTCAAAAACACCCAATCTCCCACTTCAAAGCTCCTTTCTTTCCTCTTGCTGTCTGCGTAGTGCTTCATTCTCGCCTGTGCTTTTGCCAAATTGTCATGTAAAACTTTGGCCATCGGTTGTCTTTCTCGCAAAATCAGGTCCACAGACTCGAGCTTCATCTGGCTAATTAACTCAAAAGTAGGCTGTGGAGGATCATAGCCATACAAGGCATTGAAGGGAGTCATTCCTATAGCCAAATGATAATTCGAATTGTACTAGAATTCTGCAAGTGCGATCCATTTACTCCAATCTGAAGGCTTGTGGCCAGTCATACACCTAAGGTAAGTCTCCAAACATCTATTCAACCTTTCCGATTGACCATCCGTTTGGGGGTGGTATGCAGAACTTGGTTTTAATTGTAACTGTAGGCCCTTGAATAATTCCTTCCAAAAAGTACTGAGGAATATGGGATCTTGATCAGAAACTATAGAACTGGGTATGCCATGTAATTTGCAGATGTTATCCAAGAAAAGTTGGGCAATTTGGTTGGCAGTATAGGGATGGGTTAGAGCAAAGAAATGAGCAAATTTAGTGTATCTGTCAATCACTACCAAGACAGCATCTTTTCTATGTGACTTAGGCAGTCCACTGATGAAATCCGTTGCTATATGTTCCCACGCACGAGATGGTATGGGCAGGGGTTGTAGGAGACCAGGGTAAGCTACATTTTCACCCTTATTTCGTTAGCAGACTTCACACTCTTGGATTTGATTTTTGATGTCTTGGGCTAAACTTGGCCAGTAGAACAGTAACTTCATCCTCTGTTGAGTAGCTAAAATGCCTGAGTGAACACCCCAAGGGGTTGAGTGCATTTCCTTGATTAGTTTCTGTCTAAGAGAGCCATTGTTTCCTACCCATACCTTACCATGATGTCTGAGAATCCCTTGATGTAGCTCTAACCCTGGGACTGCTCCTGCATCCACACTCAATTGTGTGATGAACTTCTGAACTTCATCGTCATTAGTGTAGCTACCAATGATATCCTCAGTCCATTTAGGTTGGACTGTTGAAAGCCCACAACAGTCACCTTCCTCAAATCTTCTGGATAATGCGTCTGCAGCCACATTTTTAGCCCCCTTGCGATACTGTATCTCGTAGCTTAAGCCCAAAAGTTTAGTCACCCCTTTGTGCTGCAGTGAAGTGGCGATCCGTTGGTCCTTTAAAAATTTCAAACTAAAATGATCAGTTTTGATAATGAAATGACTGGGTTGTAGGTAGTGCCTCCATTTCTCCACTGCATGGAGTAGCGCAATCAACTCTTTCTCATATGTTGATAAGCCTAAGTGTTTTGAGCTTAAGGCTTGACTAATGAAAGCAATAGGCCTACCATTCTGCATAAGTACAACACCTACACCCTTACCGCTAGCATCAACTTCCACCACAAACGGAATGGAAAAATAGGGCAAGGCCAATACAGGGGCGTGAATCATTGCCTGCTTCAATTCTTCAAAGGCTTGAGTAGCCTCCCAAGTCCAACTGAATTGTCCTTTCTTGAGAAGGTTTGATAAAGGTTTACTAATGGTGGCAAAATCCTTTATGAACCTCCGGTAATAGCCTGTGAGCCCAAGAACCCTCACAATTCCTTAATGGATTTTGGCTGGGCCCAATTCAATATTGCCTCCACTTTAGAATTATCAGTGCTAATTCCTTCACTGGAGATCACATGACCCAAATACTCGACCTTCTTCTGCCCAAAATTGCACTTGGACCCTTTAACAAATAACTGGTTAGCTTTAAGTGAATCAAACACAAGTTTTAAATGGCGCACATGGTCTGTAAGCGAAGCACTATACACCAATATGTCATCGAAAAAGACCAGCACAAAACGCCTGAGGAAAGGGGCAAAGATTTGATGCATTAAGGCTTGAAATGTGGCCGGAGCATTGGTTAATCCAAAAGGCATTACCCGGAATTCCCAAAGGCCATGCTGTGTTCTGAAAGCCGTTTTAAACTCATCACCATCTTTCATACGGATCTGATGATAACCAGATCGTAAATCCAACTTTGAATAGAAGAGAGCTCCATGTAATTCGTCTAACAAATCTTCTACAACCGGTATGGGGTATTTGTTTTTAATCGTAATCTCATTGAGTTTACGATAGTCAACACACATACGCCAACTCGCATCTTTTTTCTTTACTAACAGGACTGGAGAAGCAAATGGGGATACACTCTTTGTTACTGTTTGTGCCTTGAGCATATCAGCAATAATCTCTTCAATGACGTTTTTTTGCTCGAAGGAGTAACGATAGGGCCTGAGATTAATGGGCTTGGCCCCTGGCAATAGCTCTATGGCGTGGTCACAGTCACGAGCGGGTGGCAGCCCTTTGGGCTCTTGAAATAACTCCTCATATTGGCCCAAAACTTCTGAAATCTCTTTGGGGATCTCATTCTGGGCCCCCTTGTCCTCCACCAAGAACAGTTGGGTCACAAAATTACATTGTCCTTTGTAAACTATTTTAAAAATAGCCCTGGCGTCAACATTGGGTAACTTTCTTTCGCTTGGTTCACCCAACAATGTGACCATCTCATTGCCATATTTAAAGGTAATGCTTTTGGGCTTAGTATGCAACAATATTGGGGTAACCGAATCAATCCAATCCATTCCTAAAATGATGTCACAACCCCCAGCTTTAAGTATTCTTAAATCAAAATGGAATGGCAGTTGTTGCATTTCCCAGTGGAAATTTTTGCACACTTGTTTGTTTGGTAGCAATTGCCCATTAGCTACTCGTACCATCATGGGCTTGGCCAATTCTTGCACATTTCCAGCCCACTTCTTAGCCACTTGAGGGTCCACAAAGCTGTGAGTTGCCCCTGAATCAATTAAGACAGAAACCTTGAGCCCTTTGACCCAACCCACTATTCTGATAGTAGTTGGGCTGTCACCATGGCCCAGCATGACATTCAAAGTCACCGCTCCTTGTTCAGCTCCTTCCTCCGTCACCTCGACTTCAGGTTCGTCGATTTTATCCACAACGTCGACAAACTCTTCACCTTCCATTACATTAAGAGCTCGAACCTTACACTGATGACCAGGGTGCCACTTGTCATGGCATTTGTAACACAAGTTATTTTCCCTTAATGTTTCCATGGACATGGTTTTTGGGTTCTGGTTTCTATTGTGTATAACATGCGGATTTTTTGGGTAAGTAATGGCTAATGTGGGCTTTGGGGCTTGGTGTATTCTGGACTGAGATTTAGCATATAATTGCTGATAGAGGGCATTAAACGATTTTTCATGCAATGTTGCCTTCTTATAAGCTTCCATTAATGTTTTGGGCTCAACATCTTGCACTAAAGGCTGTATATCAGGCCTTAGGCCTCCAATGAAACACAACACATAATAGGCTTCATGTACAAAAGGATTAATTAAGGTTAACAAACATCTTAACTCCTCAAACTTCCTTTTGTAAGTGTCAACATCAGTAGTCTGCTCCAATCTATTAAATGCCGCAACAATTTGTACAGGTTGGGTATTGCCGAACCTTTGGCACAAATCAAAACAAAATTGGGTCCAAGTCACTTTACCTCCTCGATCCAACAAATAGCTATCAAACCAGTTGTCTACATAATCCTTTAAGTGAATGGATACGTAGGTCATTTTTTCCTCATCAGAGACTTGGTAAAGATCAAAAAACTTATCACAACGCCTCAACCAACTTCTGGGGTTCAACTCATCGAATTCTGAAAAAGCTAGCTTCGCTTTAGGCAATTTTGATGATGAACCAGCTTGCTCAGCCCTTTCCTGACTTGTTTGGACCCAGCCAGCATTAATAGTTGGAAAATTCCCTAATGGGATCTAAAAATTTGTGGCTAAGGGATGAGTAGGTGGTTGGGAAAATGGGTTAAAGGAGAAGGGGCCAGTAGAGAGAGGGTATGAAGAAGAGGGTGGAACAGAAGAACTCATAAAGTTTTGGGCTAAGGATGCGGGGATGTTCTGAGGGTAGTATGGGTGAGTACACATGGGATACGATCCTGTAGGAATAAAAGGTTGGGTGGCCATTGGTATGAGGGCATGATAGGGCAAAAAGATGTAGCAGAAGGATTGAGAGTAGGGGCTGTGGTGGAGCTCGAAATAGGAACTGGACGATGTGTGTTTTGTCGGAATTTGAAGTTCTTAGGCTTGAATCTTTGTTTAATCGGACTTCCGGTGTTGTTTTAGGTGTTTTAAGGATTGGTACAAGTTTGAANTATCTCTAATGTTACCACCCACTGAAGATTGCCCTGCTTCTACTACCATCCCTCCATGAATGCCGGCCACCTTATTCTGGCTATCCATCCATAACAAAAGCTCTTCAACACGTCACGTGGTACCCGTAACTTCCGCCATCTTAGTATCATAACTCGCTTGTTTCTCTTCGATTTGGTCCATTCGTTTCACAGATTCTTCGATGAAATTTTGGAGTTGAACTTCAACTCTTTTCACTCCGTCTTCAACAGACGGATTTCTCTTATCACCCATGGTGATTGCCAAAATCGCGCTCTTGATACCAAATTGTAGCAGCTCGGCTGCTATGTTTTTTAGAGGAAAGAATAAAATGACAAAACAAGAATTTAACAAAAAAGAGAATTCATTTCATTTCGGATGATAACAAAATACAATGAACTCTGCTAAATAGAATGTGAAGGACAATGACAACTGACCACCTAACAACTCGACATATTGGACGACATGTGTCCCTATTTTAGAACCTCCTAATGGACTGGATATTGTAAACCTGAACTGGACTCACTATGGACTAAAAACCACTTGGGCCTTATTTAAAGAAAACTAATGTGGCTAAGCCCAAAACCTTTTTTCCACTATCATACCCAATTCTGAACATAGCCATGGCTACCATCTCACATACCCACCAGAAGTAAAAATTTTCAACCAGATAAAATGCTTTTACAATCACACAAGAACCAGCAGTAGTGAGCGAGTAACAAAAAAAGTACGACTACCAGCGACCACTGGAAAACCTCCAACTTGGCTGGAAATTTATTCTCCGACGATCTTGTACTGCCACCTCCGATAATCTCTCTCATTTCCTTCCATTCTTGTTTCCTCATTTCAGAAACACCTTAAAAATTACATGTTCTTTCAAAAATTAAATCAGGTAATCACCAAGTTTGATGAAAAATTCTTGCCGGTGATTTGACGATTCCAATTCTGTCAATGACAATGAGATCTTTGACAACGCTAAGACCAAAAAAATTTTAAAGTAAGCTAAGGAAAGTTTTAAAAAGTGATTCTTTGCAATTGTTCCCTGGATCTTCTGTAAAAATAGAATTGAAGATTTTAAGGAGTGGCCATGGCGGATTTTGATGAAGAATAGCTAAAAAATAAATTAATTGAAACTAAAATTTTCTTTAGCTCTTCACGCGCTCAAGCGAAGTATTGTTTACACATTATGACATGTCAGCTATCTGTTTTAAATAGACTCACTTCAGAGGTAGTTTGAGTGCCTAACAGGAACGGGCCTAACTTTAAGTATTTAAGTGAAAAACGGTGCCAAATTTAGGTATCTGCTTATGTATTTGGCCAATTTATTTCTCATAAAATATCTTAAGTATATTTCACACATTGTTACATACATACATTAGCGGCGAGTACTTCTATGAGTTTACTACTTTATTTTCTCACTCCTTCTCTCTAGGCCTTACTCTCACAGATCAACCTTTATCACATCACTCATACCGCCGGAACTTCTGGACAAGAACAACCATATGGATATAGAATAAATAACACCACACTACTGTAAGGAAATGCTTCTCGATAAACTGATAAGCCAGCAAAATGACTACTATGAGGAAGATGCCCCCACAATCATCAAAGATGATTAAGGAAAAAACATTAAAGGATCAATCCCACTCTCACAAGACAACATGAAACGCCTTTACCTCCCATGGCGTTACTCTTTAATCATAAAGGTCTTTGGACGTAGAATGCTGCACCAATATCTTCGCTCTAAGCTAATTGACTTATGGAAGCCATCCGAACAGTTAATCTTGATTGACATAGGATGGGATTTATTCATAGTCAAATTTAGTCTAGAGGAAAATATGGCTAAAGCACTACACCTAGGACCATGGTTTGTCTCTGGGAATTTCCTTTCAGTCCGAAAATGAGAACCAAAATTTGTACCACAAGAAGCCACCATCTCTACCACAGTCCACAGCTATCTGGATTCGTCTCCCACAACTCCCAACATAATTCTACGACAAAGAAATACTAGAGAAAGTTGGCAGGAAACTGATCAAATTACTAAAAATAGACTCATGTACCTCCTCCACCCTGAGAGGAAGGTACGCACGCATATGCATTCAAGTACCCTTAGAAACACTAGTTGAAATATCTGTGATAATTAGAGACCACAAACAAGCAGTGACTTATGAGGGGGAAGGTACATTATGCACGGCCTGCGGAAGAATTGGGCTCATATCAAGAAATAGCAACTACAAAAAAGTACAATCACCGACACCACAAGAGGCAGCAGAGACTTCAGAAAAAAATATGAAACAAGGGGATGAGAATGAATGGAAAATAGTAACCTTCCCAAGGAAGAAAAAACCAGACCAATAAAAGGTGAAAGAGAGGAACAATGGAGCGGCAAACAACCAACACCATATATCACAAGCACAACGGATCCAGGTAATCATGTTTGACGCAAACTCAAGTAAGTTTCTACAAACTAAAACTGTGCAGTACAATTCTAAGGCAAGCAAACCCAGTCCAAAATCATACAGCAAGCCCAAGGCCCAATCAATAAACAAAACCTCACCCCTACTCCCGTGAAACTACTTCCACACGGCCCCAGCCCAAAACTAACGCAAAACGTAAGGCAGGAATGGGGCCCCAGGAAAATGATATACACTCCCGCCTCGATCCCCACATAGGCTCCCACAACGAGACCTCTGATCTAGGACCATCTCCTGACGTAAAAGATCTCAACTTTGGGGTTTTGGATTGCAGGGCTGGTCACGTTCAACCAATTGGGGCCCTCACCCAATTAGAGACTACCGGCCCAAAAAATCAACCCTACCCAATCGCCTATGCATCCCCTACCCCACTCAAATTCAGGTGAAAAGACACTCGCCGTCCATTCCACAAGATATCATATTAATTCTGAATCCCTCTCCCCAGATATAATAACTGATGCCTCTTCCACTGACCGAGATTTGACACCAAAGGGCACAATTATGAGTCAGCCCTTTAACTTAATCCCCCCCATTACCCAAATTAGTAAATCAAAAAAATACAAAAATGGAAAAAAACCAAACGTCGCCCTCCTTTATGACCTCACTACCATTGCCACCGGACCACCCACCAGCATCCTGGCTGGAGGTAGCGTTGCAGGGACATGGTTTAACCTACAATTTCACCCTGGGAAATCAACCATTGACCTTGATTGTACAGAATCCGGCACACTTGAGGGTAACAGTGGAAGCACTGAACAAGGCTTTGGATGCCTTTGGACCAAACATCGACCCAATGATGCTCAACAACCAAATATCCCAAGTCTTCCCGTCAATACCATTCTTCCCAAATCTGGTAATGGAGGATCCAGCAGCGAAACTGATCTTTGTGACTATCAATCCCCAAATCCACCAAACACCATCATTGTTTGCTCAACCAGAGAAGAGTACATCTCCACCACTCAGCAACATCAAAAAGGAAATCAACAAGGCCCTAGATCTCCTGAAAAGGAAAAACCCACCAGAAGCGGAAGGAACTAATAGCATCAAGGACAAGGATAGAGTTTTGGAAGCTCCAAGAAGGCCATTTACAAGATCTCAAGCAATAGAATTGCAGACTAAGGTCGCTGGACTTCAATGGCAAATAAAAAAGCTTTTAATTGTAGGGGAAGATCTTAAGCCCAAAGGAGATGAATCGTCCAAGTTTTATAATTATTTGGTGGCCCAAATTAAAGTCCAAGAGGAGAAAGATTGGGTCCCGACATCAGCCCTTGAAGTCCACCAAAAAGGCACCAAAAAGAGCTTAAAATGAGCTTAAAAGAGGTCCAAAAGGGGGTGTTTCAAAAGGAGCCCAATTGGAGTCCAAACCAATGGCCCAAACTAGTGGTTTTAAGGCCCAAATCAGCCCCAAAGGGATTTGGCCACCCACCCTCTTATTTTTATTAGTTTTTATTAGATTTTCTAGTATTTAGCTTAGCCTCCAAGTTAGGGTTTGCCTTGGCAGCCACCCTACCTAGCTTTAAGGACTTTTTACTTCTTATAGGAGTTCTTTTCATTCATTGTGGTACTTCATTATTGATTAATAATATTATACTTTGAGAGTTCTTTTGAACCTTTGTTACTTATGCTTTGAAATTTATCTTTCAACCTTTACTAGTTCATAGTTCAAGGTAGTAAGATAACTTCTTTATTGTGATATCATTGATTCCTTTGTGGTATTCTTAGAAGGCAATTAATACTAGTTATTAATTGTTGTCTCAAGTTACTCGTAAAGCGGTCAAGATCTGAATCTATTGTTTTTTATTTGTTCTTAAGTAAAGGCGTTTGATTTCTTCAATAAATCAAAAAGTTGTTGCTTAGATCTTGTCAAGGCTATAGAACTTGCGTTCTTGGAAGTTCTTGGTATTCTTTCCCTGAATTTTCCCATTTCCTTTATTATCTGCACTTTAATTCTAGTCGTTCAATTTCTTATTGTTAATGCTTCCGCATTTACTTCCTAAATTCTTACTCTAGTTTGGATTCCCGACCTTGCTGTTATCAAGTGGTGTTAGAGCGGTTCTATCAAGATTTCGTTCTTGATAATTCTTGGTATTTCTTGAAGACTAAGAGAGAAAAAAAGTTACTGTAGCATCGTGAATAGTAACTTGATAAAAAAAGTTTTAAAAAAAAAACAAAAAAAAATGAAAATCAGTTAAAAAAAGAAAAGAATTGCTTGCTCTCCAAGAAATTTCTTTTGTATTTAATTTATTTCCAAAAATCAACAAAGGAAACAAGAAGAGGGAATCCTAGATTTAAAAGATAAGAAAAAAATCCAATTTTTGTTACTCTTTCTGATCTAAATATATAATCCTTTCCTTTTTGTTCGTGTCTTGTTTCAACCGCGCCTACTAGTTCTAGGATTTGGTTCTTCTTTCATTCGTTCCCCAAAAATCCATATTTTACCACTAAGAACTTCTAACGAGTTAGGTTTAACTATAAATCTACAAAGTATTTTGTTCAATGGTTATTTCGAGAGGAAAAAAAATTGAGGGAAAAGCCAATTTGTGGGATACAATTTAATTTTTTTTAAGATGTCGCGTACATGTAGTGATGAACAAAGGATTCTTCAAGAAGCCGAAATCAAAGCAAGAAATGATTTTACCTTGCAAGCTATGCACCAACAGTTCGAAAGGTGCAAGCTATGCACCAACAGTTCGAAAGGTGGAATTTGCAATTCCAAGAAATGAGGGATACCATTGCTGAGCAAAATGATACAATAGCTGAACTTACGAGGGGAAATAATGT